ACACTTCCGTAATACCTCTTCCTGGACTGGTTTCATCTGGACTCCAGGGCTTCGACCCTGCAGCGACCTATTGTATGTGCACGCGCCCGTCAGTGATGGGCATCACAGCACTTGGTACTTCCTCTTGCTCAGCACTTACTGCGTTTATATGTCTGCTAAGCCCTCGAGAGGGCCGGGACTGCCCCTGGCTGGAATCTCCTGTGTGAGGCAAACAGCAGACACTAGGGAAACATTTGGTTGAGTGAGTAAATGAGGCACAGATAGCAAAGGTAGACTGTCGCTGTGACTCACCTCAGCATGAGCTGACTCTTGGAGGCTTTGCTGTTCCCAGTGGGTTTGAACCGCTCTCCAGGGAAACCTCTAATTCTTTTTAAAAACAAATACAGCTTAGTTCACTGCTATGAAAATCCTAAAAGCATGGAAATAAAGACCAAGCAGGTTAAAGAAGTGCTGGTGATGGAACCACTAGGTGGGGACAAGTGCACAGGATGCTAAGAGAGGAAATACCCAGCATAAGTGCACTGCTGCTTTGGTCAGGTCAGTGACCCCCCCCCCGCCACCTGTTCAAGATTCATCTCCAGGTTGGCACTGTTTGGGGGAAACTTTCAGAGCTGAGACCTAGTGGGAGACCTGCAGGGCGCTGGAGCTGTGCCCTCACAAGGGACTGCGAGCCCTGGTCTCTCGTACCTCCTACCTTGCTTCCTGGCCACCAGGCTGCATCACAGCCCCTCACACTCTCTGTCACTGCTATCGGACGGCCTCAATGGCGACCTCAGACCAGACCCTCCAGCACAGTGAGCCACAGCAAATCCGTCCTCCGCACGAGTTAATGATCTGAGTATTTCACTGTAGTGACAGAAAGTTGATCCATGCAACAGCACATTTTATAAGTATTATCCATCAGTGAAAAGCACAGTTTCCTTGTATGATATGAAATGAAGATTTCATTAATGTTTAGTGGATATCAGCATAGGGGCAGGCTAGTATTAAATTTTCTCCCCATTGAGTTTGTTGGTACATGTAAAGCAAACAATACAGTTACATTCATCACTGGGATCTTGTACCTTTACATGATATGTCCTGGTTCTTATTTTTCCCCCATTTTTTGCCCTCCCTTCACCCCCTTCACCCTTCCCTATTTACAAAGACTTTGTTTCCATTTTTTCCCTTTTTTCCCACATTTTTCCCGTATTTCCTTTCCCCTCCCCTTCCCACTTCCCCTTTGGCCATTTTCTTCCTATTTCACACTATCTATTATACCACTTGAACCTTATTTACACTTCTAGTTTTTCACACCAGAGAAACTATTTGGTATTTATTCAAGTGTGTCCTATTTATTTCACTTGAGAGTATGGCTTCAATGTGCATCCCCTTAGCTATAAATGTCTTTAGTGTCTTATTCTTTATGGCTGAGTAGTACTCCATTTTATAGAAAAACCACATCTTCTTTATCCAGTCTCCAGTTGATGGGCATTTGGGTTATTTCCAAGTTTTAGCTATTACAAACACTTCTGCTATAAACATGGGTGCACATATATCACTGTGGTATGATTCTTTTGGAAAGATACCCAGCAGAGGGATAGCTGGGTCAAATGGGACCTCTAATCCTAGTTGTTTGAGGTATCTCCATATTGATTTCCACAGGCTATTATTAAATTGATACACTGGATAACAATGGTATTTTTGCTACCACTACAACCAATGGTTTTAAACCTCTGAAGTATGTTTCTATGTCTATGTATTTATAGTATTTTGTTAAGTGTACTGAATCCAACATTTAATGTATACCTATCTTGCCCGTATTAGATCCTGATGATTCAAATTAAGAGGGTTTTGCTCATGTCTGTGAAGCTATCTTACAGCTAAATGAAAAGTATATTCAACAAGTATTTGTTTTAGTTTTATTTTTCTAATTCAGTAGTTTCTGGCTTTCATTTGCTCTGTTGGAAATTCCCAAAGCACTGCTATGAATCAAAACTGCAACAAATACCTCCCTATTCAAAACAATAGTAATAATTATCAGCAGCAACAATATGTCACCTTTACTAAGCTCTTTGGGGCACAGTTATCTCCATTTCCTAGAGGGGAGATGTTATTATGTTCCTGTTATATAGAGGAAGAAACCAAAACAGAGCTTGACTTTCACAAGTACTCCCAGCCAGCAAAGGGCAGGTCTGGGCTTTCTCTCTGCAGTCTGACTCAGAACAGAAGCTCTTACCCACTAAATAACACCCTTCGAATTTCACACAACATGGCATGGTGAGAATGCCACAGCGAGGAAGAAGTCCGTTAGAGGCGGAGGCACCAGCACGAAACGTTTCTGTTTCTCTGATGAGAGAGGTGTCCGTGCCCCGCAAGCTGGAACACACACCAGAGACAGTGTGCTCAGATGAATGACACAGGACGCTTAAGGAAGCCAAGGAAGTTACTTCGAAGGCCGGGCCATCACAAAAGTTTTGGTGGAAGGCACGGGCTGTGCAGGAGGGTTACGACGACAGCGGAAGAACAGAGTGCCATGTCACAGGCAAGCGGGCGCACTGATAAGACAACAGGTGCAACATGGAGAAGGGATCCAGCTGTTCATCCTTTTCATGTATGGAGGCAGGAGGAGGTCAGGCTGGAAGACTAAGGGTTGGATTGGGAAGGTAAGTGAATGCCAGCTGGGAGTCAGGACCCTGCTCTGGATGGCCCTGCCCAGCACAGGAGCCACCCCTCACTTCCGGCTTCCAAGCACCTGAAATGCACCCAGGCCACACTAGGGCGCAGTTTTTGGGCAAAGCACAGACCAGCTTTTGAAGACTTGAGAGGAAAAACAAAGTGAAATGTCGCACAAAATTTTATACTGAGTAAGTAATAATATTATTTTGGTACCGGAGATCAAACTTGGGACCTTGTGCTTGAGAGGCAGATGGTGGAACCACTGAGCTAAATTCCCGGCCCCATATTGACTACATTTTGAAATGATAGTATTCTGGATATAAATAAAATATTTAAAACTGCATGTGACTTGCACTTGTTGCTTACATTATATTTCTGCCTGACAGTGTTGCTCTAGAAAATATGAAACATTATGAGCAAGGATTCATGCAAAAACTGTGTTAATTCTAATATGAACACATAAACAGTTTTAGCTTATGTGACAACTGATCTGATTTTTATACAAGCTAGTCACAAGAAAAGCTCAAAGTTGGGGGAAGAAGTGGGGCTGGTGCAGCATAAAATATATTTAAGATAAAGCACAAACCAAAGAAAACAAAAATAAAACAAAAAAAGCTGGACATGGTGGCACACGCCTGTAATCCCCGCACTCGGGAGGCTGAGACAGGAGGATTGCTGTGAGTTCGACACCAGCCTGGGCTACATAGTGAGTTCCAGGTCAGTCTTAACTACATAGTGAGACCCTGTCTCAAAAAAACAAAAACAAAAAGATATAGAACCACCACATTCAATGTATAAACTTTGTTTAGAGCCTGATCCAAGGAAACAAACCATAAAACATACATTTTAGAAACAACTAGGGAAATCTTTAAAAAGTCTAGATATCAGATGACATCAGTGAAATAGTATTTTGATCAAAAATAACATTCTGGAGAAGAAAACACTGAAATGTTTTAGGAATATGAAGTACATAGAAGTAGAAAGACAAAACATTTTGGATTTGCTGGGGTAAAAGTACCTTTTGTATTTTTTCATACCCAAATAAACAAACAGAATAAAAGAGGTAATATGACACCTTATGGAGTAGTAAATCAAAATAAAGCTGTGCAGCCTGGGGAACCTGCGCACATCTCTCTGTCCAAGGAAGGACAGAGCAGTGGAAAGGATGACTGTTGGGGGGCGTTACTGTCTTCTGATAATACTGTGCGGGAAGGTCTTCACAACACCTAAATCTGTTGCGTTAGGTATTTTGCTAGAGCCACGTGCAAGGTATCCTAACCAGACTGCCTGCTAATCAGTACAAAGCTGTTCACGTCTGCCTTAAACACTTGTGGAGAACCACTTTTTGGATTTTTTGTTGTTGTTGTTGTTGCCTGTCTCAGTCTATTCTTTATAATTCATGCCACAGCTACATAATGATCATATTAGAACATTTTATCTATTCAGCTCACGGTTCTTTGATTGCTTCTGAAACTGAGGTTTGGTAAAAGAAAGATTAAAAAGAAGGGAAGTAACTGTGAGCGGCGGCAACACCAAAACCATTTTAACATCTCCAAGTGAAGTTTGTGCCGCGCTGCCAAAGGTTCAGGTCTGGATTTACCTCTAGGTACCACGCGAGGAAGAGAGACCAGGGTAAAGAAGCAGCCCTGAGAGGCCGTAACGGGAGCGGATGAAGGCGAGGAGCGGGGCGGGAGAGAGCAAAACCGGAGGACCACACACCCCACAGCGTCCACCCGGAGGGTCCCCTGTGACTCAAGGGGAGCGGCGCCTTCTTCCTCCCTAAGCCCGACAAAGCACAGCTCCGGGAACCAGCAGACCCCACGCCCAGCTCTCGGGCCCATCGCCGGTTTACCTCCGCATCTGTAAAGTTGGTAACAGCAACACCTTCCTCACCTGTGCTCCTGGGTTGAAGGGAAAGCAAAGCGAAACAGCAAATGCAAAAGGATCTGAAAAGTTTTTTTTTTTTTAATAAGTCGGTTGCTAACATCTAAAAGAAATAATCAGCTTGAACGTATTTTACCACATCTCCTGCTCTCCTAACGTCGCTCCCACCCCCTCTCCCCACAAGCGCGTCCAGCTACAAACCGAAAGGGCTAGGAGTGCGAGGAAGGTAAGTTGAGGCAGCCTTGGCGAAGGCGGGAAGAGCCTTCTGAGGAGTGGGAAGGTGCTCGCTGAACAAGAGCGGGCGGAGGCAGCTTCACAGAGAGTAAGGGAGCGGGATCTGCCCGGCGCCAGCGCTCACATAGTGACCACACTACTCCGGCTGGGCCTGGTTACCATAGCGACCGCTTCGGGACAGGCGGAACGGCGCATCCGGTCGGTGCTTGGCAACAGCGGCTCGCGACTAGCGACGCGGTAACGTCACGCCGACTTCCGGCGGAAGCGGACGCCGGTACCGAGTGTGGCCTGAGCGGACGCGAGAGCGCAGGTCGGTGTGTGAACGCTGACTGAGCTGGGCGGGGCGCGGTGAGCGGGAACGCGGTGGCGGGGCTCAGGTCCCGCCTGACCCGGTGAGTGGGAGCTACCGAAGGGTCGGCCGGGCTCGGACGCAGTTCCGCGCTCGGCGCGTCTCTACCAAGCTCCTCGGTGTGAGGGAATCTGGGCAGCGCTTTACGGTGGGAGAAACCCCAAGTGTAAACGGTCAGTGGAATAAACGTTCGGTCGCTCGGCCAAGGAAGCTGGGAGACCGAGCTTTTGCATGTGGTCAAGCGAGCCGGCGTTGCAGAGCCGAGGGCTAGGGCGTGCCTGTCAGTGCGAGCGGGGCCGCTTAGGGCCTGACGCCACCCGAGCTCGTGCCGCTTCTGCTGTCCGGTGCTGTGGTCTGTGCGTGGACTTAAGAGCGACCGTCTAGTGCATTTTGTACTGAAACATCTAGCACATTTTCCCTACTTGTTTATTTATATCGTTTTACATGGAGTTATTGAGAGCGTATAACAATATACGCTTCAAGTTTGGATTATAATCATGACTTACTCAGCCAAGTAGTAAAGATCTCAGGAAGGCGGTGCTTGGCCTTTTTTTAGATTTGTGCAGGCTGTAATGAGTCGTCATTCTTGTTTCGTGCAGCTGACCTGAGAAGACCCTCTTCCGGCTCGGGCGATGGCGTTGGAACCGGTGCCGAGGAAGGACTGGTACAGCGTGCTGGGGGCCGACCCGTGTGCTGACGTGTCAGACCTGAAGCAAAAGTATCAGAAGCTCATATTAATAGTAAGTCATTTCTTTCGTAATTTAAATCATGAGAGAAAAAGTCAGTTTTTAAATATGGTCTGAAACTTAAATTTCAAAAAAGTACTGGGTGATATCACTGGAAATCAGGTAGTATTAATTTGATTTCAATGAACGTTTCAGTAATTCAGCAAACAAACGGAAACCAAACTTGATGTGAAGCAGCACGGAGTTTAGGAACACGGCTTGTAAGTCAACCTGATTAAGATAGCTGAATCTCCTGACTGCTACTGTGCATGAGAACTTGGATGCCTTTCCTCAATACAGTACCCAGAGAGGAGTAAGCAGGATAATCTACTTACTCTGTATGGCACTCATGGAGGAGGAAACGGGAAAAGCCTTGTAAATACTAACAAGTTGGTTACATAAGCAGTGCTAGCTGAGTAGTAGCATTGGCAGAATGGAACTGTCCAGTGCCTGACATGCCTGTCCAAATGGATACGTGCGCCTAAGTGTAAAACACACATTGGACTTTGAAGACAGTACAAAAAAACCTATAAGTTTTAGTTTGGTTACATGTTAAAATGATAGTATTTTGGCTGTTTTGCATAGGATATGTATAATAGGCATTTTTTTAATATATTACCAAATTTTATTTCATCATCTTTTTGCCTTTTTGAACATTTCATCTGTAGTCTACATTTACATTTAGGTTACATTTCTATTGTATAGTGCTGATTTCCGTCATTTTTACACTAATTTCATTCATCCCCTTTTTAAAAAAATAAGTTGTAATAATTTATATCTTTAATAAAGATATAAATCATTTCTGAGCTTACATTCATTTTTTCAATCTGTATTGTGATGGTCTTAAGCCCATGTCGGTATCTGTAGTGATCTATACTTAGCTGAAGTCACAAAAAAGATTACAGCTGTTATCTGTGTGGTATGAGTTGTTTCTCTTTGCCAAACACGTCTGTGGTATTTTGCCTAGATTGTGTTCATGATGAAAGATAGATATTTCACTGCCAGGAATGTACTGATATTCTTGCCTTAGGTGCCGAAGTGGACTAAATGATCTTAAAGCATGTTCTGCCTCTGGATTTCTGTAAGTAAAATGAAATAGATTTTACTGAAGATGTTTTTGATGCTCAGTCACCTTTGTACTTCAGTTAGGAGGGGTGGCTAGAGAAGTGGACAGGCCTTCTGGGCCATGGCAGTGAGGAGCCGTCTGCAGTGTAAGACACGAAAGTGGACGGACTGCCTGGTGTCTGTGTTTGCAGTGAGTCAGCCCAGGCCACTCCTGGTGTGCAGCAACATTTGGCGCTCAGTCTCCATGCCAGCCGTGAGACGGAGGGAGGTGCTGCATCGCCATGTGGGCAGCCCTGTGCATGGTGGACTGTGTGGCAGCACCCTGGATGCCAGCGATAACCACAGTAGCTCCTCCTGGGAAGCACTGCGCTGCTCTGCTCTGTAGCTGTGTTGCATGACAGGGGTTTGGTTTTCTGGTTTTGGTCTTTTTTTTTTTTCTTTGATGACTGTTGGGTGTTTTTTGAAGTAATTAGTGGCTCTTTGTGTAATCTGTGTGTTTGTTTTAAAAGTGTGTATTTTTTCTAGTATCTGTGTTGTACATGGTTTGCCTACTGTGTAGCTTAGCAACTTATTTTCTTACTGGTGTCTTTTGGTGCACAGAAGCCTTTTTGTTTTTGAGGAATTATAATTTACCAGAGTTTGTTTTATAGTTAATACTCTCTATGTACGTCTTCTCTCAGGTCATGAGAGCGTTCTTCTGTGTTTTCTTCTGTATATATGTAAAGAAGAAAAGTTTATTTTGGCCCCAGTTTCTGAGGTTTCAGCTTAAGATCGGTTGGCCCCAGGTTTTTGGGCCTGTGGTGTGACAGCTTCCTGGGGTAGAACAAAACCGCTTTGCCTAGGCAGGGAGTGAGTGGAAGAGGAAGAGAGAGGGTTCTGTGGTTTTCCAGAACATCTGCAGACCTAAAGACTTCCTGTGAGGCCACGCCTCTTAAAGGGCCCAACACCTTCCAGTAGCCCCAGGTTGGGGACCCAGCCTTTAACCCTGGAACTCAGGGGTCATCCCTGACCCATCCTCTAGCAGGTACTGTTTATTTCCATTGCTGCACATTTTGGTGTCTCTCACCTGCTTTTACTTTTCTGTTTGTTCTTGTGCATTTATGCTTTTTGCCTTTTTAAAAAAATTCTTTTGCTGTTACTATAGTGGAATTGGGAAGGAACAGGAATAAATGTGTGTATCGATCTGCCATTTATAGGTGCTCTGAACTGTTTGCATTTCTTGTTGCTTCCCACCTTTGCTCTTGCCTTTGCCACATACCTCTTCCACTGTGACCCATCCCTACCTCACCGGATTCGCTCTCACTCATTGCTTTGAAATGTTCTTGGTTATAATTCCCTGGGCCCTGTGACCCTTCCCCCGGTGCCCTCCCTGGTAGCCGTGTTAGTGAATGGGACACAGGAGGCAGAGCTGTAAAGGAAGGGGAGCGAGGATGGCTGGAGTGCAGGAGGAGGTGGGTGGTAGGGCTCCCCTTCTTTTAAACGGTGGGTGAGACTTGGGCACGTTCACATTTTGGGGGTGGTAAGAGAGATGATGATGGTCAGCCTGGCTCCAGGGTACAGGCAGGGGAAAAGTGGGTGTGGAGGTTGGAGCGTTTCTGGTTTGGTACAGAAAGCTGAGGAGCTCTCGTTTGTGGCTTCTCTTCCCTTTGAAGTAGAAATCAAACTGTGATGAGAGATGGATAAGAGTAGTTGAGGTAGCAGGCTGAGGAGTTTCTCCTGCCTTGTGCTGGCAGTGGCTGTGGGCAGGTACCAGGAGTTGGCCCAGAGCAGCAGCCTCCCAGCCGTGTCTGTGTCCTGGGTCCTGACTGTCTATTCTGTCCTGCCCGGTGTGCTCAGCAGGACCACAGGAGGTGTGCACGTCGTGTGGAAGTCATGGCACACAGAATTGCAGTTTATACATGCTCTCAAAGCCTCTGACCTGGTTTTTGCCCTGCCATCCTGCCCAGCAGGGAATGTTAGCCTGCCATTGGCAGTTGGGAAACTGAGACCTGGTTTGTGAGAAACACACAGTAGAGGTGGAAAACCTCGGCCTGATCCGTACCCTCTGACATACACTTCCTCCCACCGCCTCACTGCCTCCTCACTGCCACCCCAAAAGGCTTCCTGTTGTTGAGAGGTGTTACTTGAGCTATTCTGGATTTCTGGAGTGCGTTCATGTGCAGTTATGTAGTATTAGGGAAAGTCAGATGTAAGTACCACTCTGTGCTTTAATTGTGATGGGATCTAGGTTACACACCGGTGATGGAGTGAAACTTATTGCCCTATCTTTTTTGTACCATAAGTCTGGAGTTTCTAATAGATTTAAGGAGAAAATTATATGGGAAAATCATACAGTTATGTTTACCAATTTCTTTTTTTCACAATAGCAAGCTTCTGAAGTTCATTTTTTTTTTTTTTTTTT